TTACCTGTTGGTTCTGCAGTGACAGGTAGTACTGTAGCTCACTGTGGCTTGTTATCAGGATTCCTTCTCCCTTGGTGTCGTACTGAGGGCGTCCTGCACGCCCCAGCATCTGCAGGACGTCCAGCGGGCCTAGCTCCACCCACCGTCCTTTCTCCGGATTGTAGATCTGTGAAAGAATGCAGCCGCTCGTTATGTTAAGGTACGACAAAGCCAATTTCTGACAAACGAGAAACCTGAGTAAACCACAACTGCATCTTGACTGAGTTCGTACGGTACACTGTGACTCAGGCAACGGCTAGTTAAACTGGTAACGCGTGTCTCACCTGCGTGCCTTTGATGATGACCGTGTGGGCGGGCAGGTTGACACCCCAGGCCAAGGTTGCCGTCGAGCAGAGCACCTGGATGTGCCGGTCGGCAAACAGGTCCTCCACCAGAGCACGGTCCACCCGGTTCATGCCGGCGTGGTGGATGGCAAAGCCATACGGCAGCAAGTCCTTCAGCTCCAGGTTCTGAGGGTCCAAGGCAGAAAGACTTCCGTCACTGCGGCAAAACATGACGGTTAAATATCGCTCTTGAAACTCGCAATTCCTTTGAAATTAAACCACAGGCTTCACTGTGCTCTGTACTTCATTTTTCACGGTGCTATGCTGTACTTTGTTTTAATGACCGACAAATCCGGCGCTGCTGATTGTATTTTTGGATTACCTCTGCCTGCTCTGCTTCTGTGCGCAGGACTTCAGTGGAGGCTGACCCCTCTCGAAGGAACTGGCCCAGGGTGTCATGCTCCAAACACATGTCCCTGATGGCACGGGCCGTCTTGCCCGTCTCCTTACGAGAATGAACAAACACCAGCACCTAAAACCAAAAAGAACCATAAACCAATGAGCTCCGACTCAATCCAGCGTCGATAGGCAGCCCGTTATCTCAACTGATACTCGGACTGCCCTTGGTAATAATGGATTTTCATTACATGACTGACGGGGTATTAAGATGTCACATCAAGTCCTTAAAACATTTTTCCTTTCAAAGATTTGGTTTCAGCATGTTGAATAAGCCCATCCAACCAAATACTTGAAGTCTGCCAACCGGGACCGATGGTTATAAGATGAAATTGTCGAGAGTTTGATCGACTTGTATTGAGATATGTGTTCTGGATTTGTTGCTGGTTTCTCCTTGAGTATTCTGTCACGAAGTTTGTCTTCTCAGACACAGCCAAGGAGGTGGTCCTCATCGACACAGCCTGGTGTCATATGGTAGGGTTTAAAGATGCATCATCACAGTTGACAGCATTCGTGACACGGTTATCCGCGAAAGCCTGAACTTTAATATATAACAGATATTCATGACTACGACGGTCGTGTACTTTTAGGACCACTTTCTTCGGAGAACAGAATCGTTGCCGACAAACAGGGATAATCCTCACTTCACACCAAAAAATTTGCATATATTCACTAGTACTATTAATAATGTGAGAAATCATTAAAATATGTTAAGTCCATCCTCAAGTAGTCAAATCAAGTATTGTTCTACTAAAATGTTCACCCTTTTCTCAAAACACTAAGTATTTACCCATAACTGACAAGCACAATCGTGGATGCGGTTTGACCACAACTTTGGTGTGTAGCTAAGCCTCAGTAATGACAGGTGATTTATACGGCAACGGCATAAGACACGCAGCAATTTGAGTCAGGAGAATGTTCCTTCAGAACGGCAGATTCAGGATGCAATCGTGCCAAAGGGGATAGGCTTAACCAACTGCGAATCCCGCGACGAGACCTCGCCACTTTGAAGATTGGGTGTTACCTGGTTCTTGCCGGCGTGCTCCATCACCTTCTCGTAGACAATCTCGTTCATCAGCTGGAAGCGTTTGATGGCCTTCTTCTCGGTGATGCCAATGTACTGCTGCTCAAGGGGCACAGGCCGGAAGCTGTTGTCAAAGAAGAAGAGTCCCCGGTCGGTGTTGACGCGCAGGAAGGTGGCCACGTCTTGGTAGTTGGGCAGCGTCGCCGACAGGCCGACCAGTCGTACGTCCTCTTGGGATGTCTCTATGTTGCGGATCGTCCTGAGGAGAAGAGAATTAGCTAGTGTGACCATGCTGGGCCAAACAAAATTTGTAAGCACTGCAAATGCTGAACACCGTTTCCAAGACGCACAGGGGAAAGTTCGTCTGAACTTCATTGGTTCAAGCAACTGGAAATCACATTTCACTCAGGTGAGATAAAAATTGAACAAAACCTGACGAACCTTGTTCGTGACATGAATACAGAAATTTCCTTGTGAGAGTATTCATTTGTGTTTTCATTGGACGTTGTCTACTATTCACCTTGCAATGACTGCCTCGAGAACGGGTCCTCTGTCGTCGTGGAGCAAGTGGATCTCATCCTACAAGCAAGACAAAACGACAACTGGTCACTGTCTGATGGTTGTGCAAATTACACCTCAGAGGCAATACCTTACTGACATGCCTTAATGGGTCTTTCATCTCTTTGTTAGTTATACTGTCGTAGGATGGCAGTGGGTTGGGTTCAAACCCCTACATATAAGGCTGGTCACCATCAAGTGCTCTCCCCTTTGTTTACACATCCACTGCATATGGAGCTCACGCAGCGACGTCAACAAAGGCGGGGTGCGGGCAGCTGGTGAATGAAAGGTGAACTGATGTAGCATTGTCACCAAAACGGAAGGGGGTGATATATGCAGCAAGACATACCCACGCAAAAATGTCACAGTTTACACTCATCCAGTACGTAATTTGAAAGTGAGATTACAAGGGGTCTCAGAGAGGGTGAGACACTGGCAGAAAGAAGGGCTGGGGGCAGGGGGCAGGAGGTCGGGCTTCCACCCGCTTACAATGATTATCAGCCGCACGAGCTGGGTGTACGTCTTCTCTCCGCCTTTGCGCGTGATGATGTCCCACTTCTCCGGCGTGCAGACGATGATCTGGGTGGCGTGGATTTGGTCCTTGGTCAGCTGGTGGTCGCCGGTCAACTCCGAGACGGTGATGCCGTAGGAGTCCAAGCGCTGAGCACACAAAAACCACAAAGCGGAAACCCCACCAAGTTATTGTTATTTGCTACATGAAGGTGTGTTACAACACAAGCGCTCTTCTCGGCGTTTTTGAGCCATGTGCACTTATGAAAAGTCACATCAATCCAATAGTCCAATAAGCATTTCACGTACACGTACAACCTTTAATTAAGTGCGATACAACCCAAGTAATAGCTTCTAAAAAAATTCTAATATACACATTAAAAAATTGACATCTTCTAAAACCGGTGGACAGATAAAAATAGCCATAAGGGGAAGTATGCAATAACGCTGTGGGCGAATTGACCGGCTGTGGCTTCTCCAATAACACGTCACTGACCTTCTTGAAGTTGCCAACCATCTCTTGCACCAGCGAGCGCATGGGAGCGATGTAGATGATCTTGAAGGCGTCCGTGTTGATGGTCCCGTCCAGGTTGATGTTCTTGCCGATCTCCCTCAGGATAGTGAGGAGGGCGACGTTGGTCTTACCGGCTCCCTGTGGGAAAAAAGTTGAGGGAAAGTGAAGCCTGAGCACCTTCGGGTCTCACTCGGGATTGGAGAATAATGAATGAATGATGATAATGTCTGTGTTTTGGTTACTGTCTGACACCTGCCATCTTGTTTAAGGGAGTATCTCAAAAGTTCTAGTTGGTAACGCCAGTCGTTCCAAATGACAACAAAAGGGTGTTCCTGGATGGAAACAATGGAAAATGCCTTTGCATGCCTAACTTAGGAGCCCATTCCTCATAGGAACTCACAGAATTCCTCAAAGGAGTATTCCAGTAAGTAAAAAAAAACACAGGATTGTTCCAACTTTTGAAATGGTCCCTAAATGGCATGTGCTGTAATTTCCTACTTACGGTCGGGGCACACAGCAGCAAGTTCTCATCGCTCTCCAAAGCCGATTTGTAGAGTCTGCTCTGGATGCGATTCAAGCTCTTGAATCCTTCGAAGGCAGGCTGTGCGTACTTCGGAAGTCTGTCGATCGGAACCAGTGCCTTTTTAGGGAGAGAAAACCAGCAGTTTTTTCATCAACAACTGCACAAAGCTTCATGTCCTGGACTAATTTTTCCGAGATGGATTAAATAATGACACAATCCACCCACCTCCGTGTCGTCGAAGGGCTTGGGTTTGAGAGCGGGAACGTGGACCTCTTCATAGCCCTTACGCTGCCTTCTGAAGGAACCGTCGGGCAGCTGGCATCTCTTGTTGGCCATCAGGTGACCTCCTTGGGCAAAGATGAGGTCATCAATCTCCAACATCTCTGTAGCCTGCATTACCTATGCAAACCACAGAAAGACAAAAGGCCAAATCAATGACCAAGGAATTATGCACAAAAACTCTTGACATCAAAATGTTGCTGTACATCAAAGTGGTCAAAACAGGTCCATTCATTAATATTTTCCTCCAATGCTGTGCCAAGAGGAGTGAACTGGATTCACTTGTAAGCGTGGGTAGTTTGCATTATGTCAAGAAATCTGAACAGTCCAACACATCTGAGGAAAGTTGCCAATCACTGAACACCATCTGGAGTCTACTGTGGAAGACACGTCAACACAGTTGCAAATTTCATGACATTCCAAAGCCAACCAACCCCCTAAAAAGACTTTCTACTGATGCGTTCACGAGAGCTAATTTTCTTAAAAGAGACAAGACCAACACAGAGCAAAAGTGCACATTTACACTCAACCAATCAATTCTCCTGTCTGATTCACTATAATCCATTACAACAGTTCCACCTTTTAAACTCTTGATATCCCCCTCGAGAAAAAAGCCACACTGCGCCAGGTTGATGTTTCAACTTACGTTCTCTGGTTCGTCCGTTTCCATGGCGTCCAGGTCTGCATCCACCTTGGACTGCCTGGCGGCGGCCCGCCTCGCCCGCTCCTCTTTGATGATGTCTTCCTTGTCCGTCTCGGTCAAGGCGTGGAGAATGGGAGCCAGGGAGGGGTCAAAGCGCATCTTGTCCTCGATCCGTTGGCGCTCGGCAGAGTCCTGGGCGCGGTTGAGCAGTGTGCAGTAGAGAACTAGGGGGCAAAATGGTTAACATTCTACATTTGACACGGGTGGGGAATAATCGACAGACCTCAATCCTGCTGTTCATCTCGTTTGGGTAGAAGATCTGTAAGCATATTTCAAATAGCAATTTTAATCATCCAAGACAGCAGTCTTTGTGTTTTTGGGTGGGGCAGAAGATTTCATCACCGATACCCTGAACCTCAGAAAACCTCCTGGTTATTCATGGATAGCGGCCATGTTTTGCTGACTGTTAACTTGGAAAAGGGCCTCTCTGTGGCAACCTCCTGATGGCCCAATTTATTGTGAATCATCAGTCAAGTATTGAAATTCAGGAAGCAAAAGAAATTCATACATAAAAAAACAAGAGGTAGCAGAGAAGTCATTGCATCGAAGAAAAATAACTTCCATTGGAGAGACATTTAATACGCTCTCACAGGCATGTAAGTGACCGACACTGGCGGAAACATAAGACCCAATATCGACATCAAAACAGACAGACCATTTGGGAGAAGGCTTACTCATTTTACGATGTTGTCTCAGGATCTTGATGAAGTCAAACTGGTTGGTACCCAGAAGCATGACCAGCTGGTTCTCCACCTGACCGTCATCGGCGGCCGTCTACCACAAGAACAGCAAAGTCAGCAAAAGTGTGTCACAAATATCGCCCGTCGCGACAGCTGTCGCACAAGAGCAAGCCAAGCACAGCATGCCCTCTGACCAATGGCCACTGGTTTATCTAATCAGTGGTGAGAAGGTCAGAAGGGGGATGCGTCCCCAAGGCAACGTTGAAGAGAGGCGTTGCCAGGTTGGGTCCTTATAACTAATTCGCAAAGTGTTCCCCAAAATAAAAGAAATCACAGGGCCTGAGGTTTTGATCCAAGCTCTGGCAACAGATGGAAAAGCTGTGAATTTTTGTAATGCTGTTAGAGGATGGCAGTGGGGTACCTTGCAAACCCCAGCACCGAAGGCTTGTCAGCATTCCTTGATCTACCTTCGTTCATACATCCACTGTGTACTGATCAATACAGAGATGCCAAGATAGAAGGAGCGATAACAGACGGTGAGACGGGGACTGCTCATACATCCACTGATACGAGGATGCACGGGCAGAGGGGAGCTAATACGACCCACAAGACGTGGGAAGACAGAGAGGGCGAGGGCTGCTTGCAGACGGTGTTTGCACCAGTACAACAATGATACGCCACGGCTAACACGGTGACACGGAGACCAACGTGGTGAGGCACGGGGACGTACATAAGGTGACAGACGATTAAAAACTACAAGTCCACAGCTTCGACCAATTCGTTGACTCCTCACCTTGAGAATATCGAGCACCTCCGAGGAGCGCGCCTGCGACACGTTCGGATCGTCGTAGAACTTGCTCAGCTGTCTCTGAAGCCAGAAAGCGTCGATGTCGCGCGGATGCAAGTCCTTCTTGGCCATGCCCATAGCAGCTTCACTGCCTCCAAGCTGGCAAATCAAGGTAACAACAAAAACAAAAAAACAATTTTTGGTCAAGTAACCACCTGAGCCCATTGAGCTTAACTCAGACAATCTATCAACCATTCACTATCAATCACTTGTAACAGGAGCGTTGTTAAGGCAACCCTGCTTTTAACCCTCCTATGCTGAAGTCACTCTTTGGGTCACTTGGTAAACACCTCAAAGAAGCACAGCTGTGTTGTATTGTGCACTGCACCAACTGTCCCTCACAGGAATATCAGATTGCACTTTTGTGCTGCCCAACAACTGTGCTTCGCTGTTTCATGTGCATCATTGTGCAGTAAACCAAATGCAGTGAAGAGGACTGCACAAAAGACCCTGGGTCACTTAGTGATGGCAACCAACTGTGTACACACTGAACCTGTGCATGTTTGAGTTCCATGTAGAAAACACGTGAGTGACTGTGGGCACTCGTGCACATTTGTGCTGTAAATTCAAAGGAGGCTTAAGGAGATCAATTCGAGGTCCCAAGTCCTTCGTCTTCTTTGTTTCTGATACTGATCATGCAAAGTCCCTCATATAACAAAGTAATTTCAAGTCCCAATGACCCTGTTGTAAAGGTGTTTGACCGTATACAATCTGCAAAGCAAAAGAGCTGAAACTCTGTGGGGAGTTAAAATTGAATTCATGGAGTTCAAATGATTACCAGTGTGGCCAATGGTACTTACACTGGTACTCAGCGTGGCATCGTAGCCGGTGTCCATGCCACCTTCGTCGTCGTCATCCTCTGACTCCTCACCTTTGACCTCTCCACAGTCATCCGGGTCATCCTGCAACAAAACACACCTTGTTACTTTAACTAACTTCAATTTTGATTCGTGGAAGTTTCTCCGTCTACATCATTAAGCTTTGCTCTCACGATCTTGCGCCCATGGGAAAAATATCTCAATCATTTTCAGACATTGATAGTTCAGTTCCCATCTATTAAAAGGATATTAATGAATGTGAAACTTACGTCATCGTCTGAGGCTTCAAACTGCACGTTGACTCCAAATGTTTCGTCTATCTCCTCCTCTGAAAACAGAAATTCAAACTAAGTTTGCATTCTAGGTGGTCCAGTTTTTGCAGTGCATTTTTAAAGCATTATTGTCCAGTGGTAACTAGTTGAAGAGAATCAAATTCTGAACTAGTACGTCAGATTTGAAGTATGATTTGGAAAAAATTATGGAAAGAAATCCACTTTGTGGCCACGAGGTTACTGAAATGTGACTTTCTTTAATACTGAGCTAACACACTGCTGTGTCAACGACATCAAGTCAACTTGACAATCACAACTGAAGCTGCCAAGTTGTATGCAACCCACCAATGGCTTTCTTTTCCTTCTCCGATCCGTAGTCGGTGATCTTCTTCCCCAAGTTGACCAGGAGTGCAAACCGTTCTTCGGCCAGTAGGCCCAAGAGAAGTTCCAGCTCCTTCTTCTTGTCTTTACTCTTGCTGTGCTCGTTCTTCAACGTTGCCAGGACTTCGTCGGCCGCACCACACAGAATATCTCGCGGCTGAGTTGGGGGGGGGAGGGAAGAGAAAAACAAAGAGATTTGGAATGAAACCCCGCGGTCAGAAATTTGCTGATGACTTTTTAAAAAATCACTTGCCATTTGGCAAATCTTGCTTTAAAGTGAAAATGAATCGCCAAAAGAAAAGAAATTTGGGCTGGCAGAATAAACACTTAACATCACAATTTTGCTCATGAATATGGAAATGCTCATTAACATGAACATCAAAAAGATACCACAATGCCTTTTAAAATATCATAACAAATATGGAAACAAGAATAAATGTGACACAAAGGGGACTTTTTTTTAAAAGTTTGTAGGAAAGAAAGCCACAGACCCCTTAAGCTAATACGCACAATTGGTCTTCATTTCAAAAATCCATTTCTGAAACCCATTTCTGCCCGAGGATATCCCTACCTGGTCGCCGATAGCTGCTTGTATGAAGCTTAGCAGGGCTTCATACGTGTTCCTGGTCTCCTGGGTCTTAGGCCTGTAGTAGATGCCCACCATGTCTTCAATGCCTTGGGACAGCAGTGTCTGACCTTTGAACTTGTTCATGTCGTAGCGAGCGTCGTCTCTCTTCTGACGCCTGAAACAAATGTGCATTCCTGGTTTTCAACTACGGCCCAGTAAACAAAATCGTGGCTCTTTGTTAAAAGATCACTTCATTATCATCAAATCTAGTCTATGATGGCAACAAATCACCAGATTTTACAAAAAAATTTATGCCCACTGCTAGAAGCAGCATATCTTGGAAATGTCCCACACAGGTTTTTCTGCTGTATTACGACAATTCCTAACCAAGGTCAGATGATGAAAAAAAGGAAGATAAAGTTCAATATTGGCTTTTTCGTAAGAGTAAAACCCACTCAAGAATAACTCAATTTTGTTACGCCTGGATGGACCTACAACACCAGGCAAATGATGTCAAGGCAACAATATGACTCTTAGCAACTCGGATGAGATTCTTAAAAACTCGGAACCTGGACCTGAATTTACGACTTTGACTGATGATTATCAAGTGAACGTACTTGATCTTTCTTTCTTCCTGCATTGGCGGCTTGGTACGCTGGGCTCTGTCACCCATCTTGCTTCCTTCAAGCTTGCCCACCAGGGACATAACCTCTCCAGTGGCTTCATCTCGGCCTCGTCGCTCGATCAGTGAGCGATCAACTTGCAGCACAAGATTGGAGTTCTATATACAAATTAGGGGCAGTTGGTAAAAGTCAGAAGTAACCAGAGGGAGTCAGAGGTAGCCGGAGGAAGTCAAAGGTAGTCGGAGGCAGCATTTAACATTTAAAAAAGCACATAAAATGTCTACTCACTCACCCTGCTGGTACAAAGGACCACTTTCTCATCGGGCTTGTCCTTTTTGCGGCTCATAAACTTCCCCAAATGATTTTACCGCGTGCCAAAATTAATCCCCTCATACATGTGTACACGTACGTGCATTGTACCATCTCTACAGAGGTGGTGAGTGAGAAGGCAAGTGCTTTACTAAATGTTAACCCCTTCATGCCGGGATTCTTTTGACCGCGACTGCTGAGCTGCGGTATGCCCAGTATACAAAGCCCTGTCCAGCAGCAGGCCCACATTGAAACTGCAGGTACATGATGAGTAGAATGTATGTGTGGTATGCACTAATCGTCATACAGAGCTGCAGCAGTAGCCGTCTCCTAGGGTGAAGGGGTTAAATGCTACCTCCGGTTACCTTTGACTTTAACCAACTTCCAACTGGATACACAAACATCTGGGCCCAAATTCACTGCGCTGCTTACCCCAAGCGAAAAATTCTGCGCTTACGCCGAACATATTTCACAGGTTAGCAAGGAATTTTGGCTTGCGCGCACGTGTACATCCAGTAACTAAGGATTCTGTGCTTAAAGGGTTAGCGCAGAATTTTTCTGCTTGCGCGGTTAGCGCAGAATGAAAATTGTGAGCGCAGAATTCTGTGGTAAGCAGCACCATAAAAGTGGGCCCTGAATACAAGGGTTGTAGGTCAACTCGACTCCTGACCAATTCGACCATTGAACCAACTCGTCCGTTGACCAACTCGACTTCAAAGTCGAGTCAACTCGACCATTTACCAACTCGACCGTTTGCCAACTCGATCCCATGATTGATGCATGTAACTAAGCTAACGTTACTGGTTGAGCTTGAGGCAACAACTCGACATGAGGTGCGTGTAAGGCATTTTCGGAAAGATGCATTCCTTCTATGCCCTGTCCCTGTTGCACCGTTTGCAAGGTCGAATTGGTCGAGAGTCGAGTTGGTCAAGAGTTGAGTTGGCCTTTACGATTTAAGGAACAACGGCTGAGTTGGTCGAGAGTCCAGTTGACTCGAGTTGAGTTGGCAACAAATGGTCGAGTTGACCTGACACCAATACAAGTCTAATTAACTTATCAATCCCTCTCCTTAAAGCTTAATTTAACTTCAATTGTTTTCACTTTACCACTATCCTAAGATCTGCCCATACAAAGACTGCACACTACCGAAAGAAATCACAAACCTTAAGCAAACAACAGTGGGCACATGTGGTAGAAAAACAAGATGAAAAGCGCCCTCATCGACACGCGACATAGAAAATGCCACAATTGTGGTTGAACTCCTAATGTTCCCAGCTTAATCATGACATGTCATGATCTTTCCTGGCATCCAAGTACACACACTGATGGAGGAAACACAGTGCTTGTTAAAGTCAACTTTATTTGTAAAAACATTCACATCTTTAGGAGAAATACCTACCGCTTTGTACTCGTACTGCAACGAGCGAGCAGTGGCGTCAGCCATTTTGTTAGCTGCTTCTGCATATGAACGTGAAAACGCGTGGTCTACGTTTCGCACTTACACAATGCATATGCAGAGCAGGAACACGTACATTTGCATGCACGTACGTGCACGTGCGTGATGTGCGTGTACACGTACGGGTGAACATACACATTGTCTGTGCGTCCGTCGTACACAGAAGTTCTTAAGGCTATCATTTTGCTTTAATTTATTAAATATGAACTGCGTGGATTCAGAAATAAAATAAAAGTTTCATCTTGATTTTGAAGAAACTGTCCAGGCCAGGATTGCAGATTAGTGGTCTTTTACTGACGGCTGGAGACGTCGCTATTAGCTAGCTCCGCAAGGCCCTGCTAAGTGCTAATTGATGCAGGCTGGTCCAGCTACAATGCATCATGTATATGCATATATGCAAATTTTACATATGGCGAATAATTCCGGTTTCACCTCGTCCCCACAAACTTATTTGTTTACACACGGCTAGGGTCACGTCGTGCGCAGGTACGGTGCCCCGTTCGTGCGCACTCATGCATAGCTTGTACGGGCGGTTGATTCGGAGTTAATTGTTCGGATAATTGATCACTATGTTTATTTAAACCATATGGCATATTGTTAAATTAGGGGACTGTTTGTTTCACACGCATCTGGATCTCGACCAGTGATCTCATCCGAACGCTGGTTCACATCATCCACTATGCGGGTTTTGGTGACCGTAAACCGACGACGGATAGCTGATCGTAGTTCGTACGCGTCGCGTGATCAAACGACCTGAGAGCAAAGACGGCTGGTCGATCGGTCTTACACCCTCCGTCCGAGTCCTGGCTCTTCCCGCTATCAGGCTAAAATTAACCTTCTGTGTAAGTAAATCATTCACATTGATTGCATGAATACTGTACCAATGTTAACTATCTGACATTGGCATTTACATGTATTTCAGCAATGCCTGTGGAGACAGAATATGCTGATTCATGAAAATTCGAACGTGATGAACTTAGTGAAGCGACCTCTTTTTAACCATCTGACCACGGAGGAAGGAAAACAGGATTAATGATCAAACCAAACTCGTATTGTATATTTCGACTTAAAGAACCCTTTGTTTGAAAAAAAAGTATCTAGGGCCAGTGTTTTCCAATTTGAAAGGAACTCCCAGGCTAAACTGCTGCAAGCATGACCAGGCCAATATCGAGTACTACGGACGAAAATAATGCAACTTGATTGTATCGTAGAGGAAGCAAGGGGATTGTACCAGCTGCGGTACTTATCAGCTTATTTAGTAACAGTGATACTCACTGATAGACGTAATACAGGTAAAAACCTATCCCTCGACTTTCTTTGCTTTTCATTTCAGGCATGTCAGGTCATTGTTTCATCATCACCAGGCTTTCATCATGTCATCTATTCCTGTGTTCGGGATTCAGAGTTTCTGCGTTATCACTGGGGCGAGCAGAGGTCTGGGTCGAGAGTTGGCACTCAGCCTGGGCAGTCGCCTTGGGGAAAACTCGCTGCTCGTTCTGACTGCGCGGTCCTCATCTGATCTGGAAGACACACGCAAACAGGTGTCTACCTGTGCCCCTGGATTAACCGTGAAGGTACTCGCCGGAGACCTCAGTGATGAATCAGGAGTGGAGGAAACCGCCAGGCGTTTGTTTGAAGGGGTGGACTGCTCGCAGTACCAGCATGCGGTGCTTGTCCAGAATGCCGGCTCACTAGGAGAGATGTCCTACATTCGCAACCTCAGCCCCAGACAGCAGACCCTGCAGAAATACCTCTTGTTGAACCTGACGTCCTTCATCACCTTGAGTACCAAGTTCCTTGGCGCGTTCCCCAAGCGGGAAGGTCTCCGCCGTAGCATGATTTCCATCTCAACCCTCTGCGCCATTGAGCCCACGAAAAGCTTGAGCCTCTACTGCACCAGTAAGGCCGCACGAGACATGTTCACGAAGACCCTGGCCGTCGAGGAGCCGGACGTCCGAGTTCTGAATTATGCGCCGGGTGTCCTCGACACGGCCATGAACCAGGAGATCGTCACGGAAGCTGGCGATTCAGAACTACGGGAAATGATGGCCAGTGTCCGGTCCACACCTTATTTTCTGACTCCAACTGCAACCTGCAAAGTGCTCCTGAAGGTGCTGACAGAAGACACCTTCAAGTCTGGCGACCACATCGACTACTGGGATGTGGAAAAGCCTCAGTAGACTAGATTTAAATAGCAAAAAACATGTTTTATCAAGAAAAGAACAATTTTATACAAGAAGGTGCGCATATTAGTAGTGAGGATCGTACTCCCTGATATATTCAAATCTTTTTCATCATTTTGCAAAATTGATTGTCACAAACAAAGACATTGATTTTGTCTTGCCACAGTCCAAAGGCTTTAGAATCTTTTACATGTACTCTTTTTCTTTCTGGTGTTCAACTTTTCTTTTGCCTATGTATTGCCGATAATTATCCTGCATTCTACTGTTCATGCCGGTTTCTTTTGCCTTCATTTATATCTGTTCTGACACAGCAGGGTTAGAGTTGATGGGAATGGAATAAAAGGTTATAGCTTTAGGATATCAAATAAATTACAAATGTTGGAAAAGTGGTAAAGTGGAAGAGGTTAAAATACCATAAAATATTCACAAGTCTGAAAAGCTTCAGAGCTCAACGGTACAGCTGGCGATGTAAAAGTACTTCCTTAAAATAAACAACGAGATCCTCAACTTGCTTCACTTCCAAACATCTCTACCATCCATGAGGAAAACTAGAAATGCGAGCAGCTGGTATGATATTTCCGTATTATAAAAAAATGTTCACATTGGATTTGTTCTTTTCCATGAGGTACGTCGGGTTCACTTTTAATTTTTTTCAATTTGGTTTTTTGAAATTGAGATGTTTTGGGCAAGATCTTTACACTCGTATTCAAATTTCGCTATGTCTAGTTGATCATTTATTTTCACTAAAACTATGTTTCACTTTTGTTAAATACGCACATCACAAATATTGCCAAGTTTTCAGGTCTGTTAAGTAAGTTTTTTTTAAGAATCAACAACTAACATTTCTGAGGACTTTTTATGAATTTTGTTTTTTAGTTTAAGGATGTCAGACAGGTCAACACATACTGAGGTATTCATTTCTTACTATAAATAAGATTTTAATCCTCACCATAATTCAAAGACAAAGTTTAAAAAGCTACAGAAATGTGATCTCATAAGACATATATGATAGAAATAAATTACTACTCACCAAGACTTCTGTATGCCATTGACGTTTTCGTGTTTTTACAGTAAAACATTTTACGAGCACTGTGCGGAGAACATGCTTTGTTAATTTTTGATTCGTTTTCTATCAGAACAGCTCTCTGGTTGCATTAGGACTGACCACCAACATGATCTCATCAACTCACGAGGCAAAAAGGGCAAACAAGCAAGAACAGCAGAATATCTAGAGTTTGGTATTTTAAACCGATCAAAGCTTGTATCAAGCGCAATGGCCTGCGCACTGAATGAAGTACAGGCTTTCTCACAGATCACAGAAAAATCCTACAATGTTGAAGACAAATCTTTGGTTGAATTTTCCCTTTAAAACAAACCATCCCTCTTTTGCTAAAAGAAACTGCTTCATAAAATATGTTATAGTCCGCAAGTTCCTCACAGAGGAAAGACCATCACAGAGGAAACCTTTCTTGCCCTCACTGGTTATAAGATAACGGGTGGAGTGATAATATCGGTGAATCCCATCATCCTGGTCGACAAAAAAGGTTCGCTAAGTCAACGATGCACTGGTTTCTCACATGTAGGTCTTCATGAGCTGTCCCTCGGTCTAAATTCTAATGGGAATTCACCTAGCTTGGGCTTGACAGTGGACTTTGACCAAGCTCATATGTTCGCCTAGATGGAGGTTTCGTCTAATGTTCCACATATTTGTCCCCCCCTCAAGAATTCTGTGTAAAGTTGGCAAGAGCGGGAGCCAGTCAAAGTACTGATTTTCTGTTTTCTTTTATTTTCCATTGTTCCCTCTTGCATTCTGCTGGAAGTTCACCGAGTACGAGCCGGTGGCCGGGTCCTGGGTGAACTGGAAGTTGTCCGTTGACAGACCGAAGGGTCGTAGGCAAAGGTTCCCTAGATCTTTCAACTTGGACATCATTTCCGCTTTAAGTTTCTCGTTCCGTTCCTGGATCTGGTCGGGGAGGCGCTGTAAGAACGGACAGAATAAAATTGATGAATGAACTAACAAAGGAATCCATTTGGACTAGAGATACACACTACATGTAGCAAAAACAACATTTGCCCATGAGTAGCAAACAAGAGATGAAGACTGAATGGTGAGTTTATAACCAACAATTAGCGAACAATCTTGAGGCCACAAGTGAAAACCTTTCCTGAGGGGAAATAAACTGGGCATCTTTACCACATTCAATGGGGATAAAAGTTGCACATTTGCATCAAGGCAGAGGATCTTTAATCTCCTTTCCATCTGGGGACGGCAATAAGACCAATTTAATCAGCTCTGAACACTTAAAACCTTAGTTGGTTAAGATCACTTGGAATGATTTACAGGTTCTCCAAATTGCTGTATTCCTATTAATTTAGAAATACTTGTAAGAATAAAAAGTAAAAGGCAGCAAACTGCCCTTTGAAGTAAAGCAACAAACAACTGAAGCGAGGTTGACCGAGATACAAAGGCGCGTTTTGAGGTTTTTATTTCAAGAATTCCCTCGCGGCTACCCTTTCAAATAGGACAAGAAATATGTCTGGGCAGCCCCACAAATAAATGCTGGTAACTCACCAGGCATGCTGCTCTGGCTTCGTGGCACCCTGGGTCCAACTCCAATGCTCTCTGGAAGTCCTTGAGGGCGTCCTCCAGCTTGTCTGTCAGCTCATAGGCCTGGGCCCGACGCAGGACGACCTTCAGATATAGGGGGTTCAAGTCCAAGGCTAGAGAGAACACCAGCAAGGGACCCCCCCAAAAAAACCACCACCCCCAAAACAAGACGAATGGTGAGGATTGAGCGATATCTACACAAACATGGTATCCAATTTGTGAGATTCGAATGTCAAAGGTATGCCAAGTTTCTATTTCTGGTGTCGTGGATCCATTTCACAAGAAATTAACCAAAAAACAGGATATTCTAGCATAAATTACCTTTAGTGCAGTCTGTAATAGCATTCTCAAAGTCTTCCTATAATTTGAAAATGAAAAGATGCAAGAAAAACACTAGTTTATGAGTTTGGAATTTAAATTGGGAACAGTACACACCCAGGGAATCAGTTCTTTTGTTCCAACAGCAAGAAAAGTCAATGAAACACTATCAAAGACATCTGTGAATAAAGCTGTAATTTTTAAAATCCTTGTTTTTTTGGAGGGGCATATAGTTTTGTCCAGGATGGGAGTTAAAAAAGATAGCAACTGTCACTTTTATACATTTCTACTTGTTTATAATGAACAATCTTATGATCTATTGATTGGGCACAGAAAATAAATGGAATGAAAACAAACTGAATGAAAACAGATGGAGAGAAACAGACAGGGGGTCGATCAAGGCAATTGAATTTAAGCAACAGGTTAAATGAAATCTTTCAAGTTCAACTAATTGCTTATTTGGGCTTCCTGAAGAAACAGGAGGATTTAAAACAAAGTACAAGTGAAAAAAAAAGTAACACACCAGCAGACACAATGGACTGAGGCAGGCTGATTTTTCACAAATCACTGTTTTTTTTTTTTTTGTAGCAGTGACTGACCTGTCTGACTCTACATGCTGCTCTGTTGGCATACATGATGGACCGGTCTTTCTTGAAGCAGAGCGGACAAAGCTGAAGCGCTTGTCCGTACTCGTACACGGCGTCTGCATACTCTGTGGAGGATGCAATGATGGCCAACCAATCAGTTCAATGATTTTTAGGTCACAGGGTTTTCAGGATGCTATCAAGCGGCTACCCTCATTGTCTGTATTTTGACATTGGGGAGGGGGGGGATTCACACTAAAGTAGGGGGGGCTGACTGGAGGTTGGATTTTTGGATTTTTTGTGTAGGCCTAATCAATGACCTCCCAAGGACTAGGAACATGGGTTCGAAAAAGTTTTTGTTTCAGAAATGCAATTGGGAGTTGATGATTTTTCATGGAGGTGGGTGTGTCCCCACTTAGCTAAGCCACTGCATTGGGGAATCCCTTCCTGTGATGACATACAGGTTTGATGTCTTTTGAATTCCATCTTTGAACAAATATATCACGAAATGGGAAGAACGGCATGCTCCAGAGGTCCGTGGTCAAATACAACTTCATTTCTTGGACTTTAACATCATTGGATAAGTGCCGGTATATGGGTTTGATTGATTCTGTCATAACATTTTGGACCAAACAACTTTTCTCTACCTTGCTCTCAGTGACAATACAAAGATGTGATCATCGGCTTCACACAAAAAGATTTCAAATTTTGCGTTGTGTGTTTTTCTTTTTTAAAGATTGATTTTCAGCATAAAGTTGCACCTTGCGTATGATAACGCCTGGCCATACATACCTTCAGACTTAAATAATTCATTGCCTCTTGTCTTGTGAGTCTGGGCTTCTGCTCTTCTTGCCTTTGGAAAAACAGAAGGACAATAAAAGGGGAATAACCATCACCATATTTAAGTTTTTCCTTTGCTTTCCTGGAGACGAAGGCACAAATGAATTCATATACGAAATTCTGACATCAGATCAAATAAGTGTGCTGGAAATCTGCAGAAGTTACTGCGCATACATTTGAACTGGGGGATCCTCGAAAATGCTGGACAAAGTGTCCCGGCACAGAGGGTAGAGTGATCGCCTAAATGTGGTAGGTGGGTGGGTGGGGGGAAGGAAGACACAAGGAGGTAGAAGTTTACAAAGAGACAGAGGTTGACTCATTTGAATCCAGCCGTTGGCATCGAGTCCTGGGTGGGTGCTTTTCGACTATATGAAAATTTCACTAATGGAAAGTGGTGTGTCCCTGAGCAGCCCACTTTACCATCATTTTTAAATTTCGTCTTCATCCACCATCAGTAACTGCAAAGTTCTTCCCAGGATGAAATTAGGATTCGATGACTAAATCATGCACCACGCACTGAGGCTAGAAGTCGGGCTATGTCAGGTGCACGAGGCCAGATTTAACAAGGGTCTCGCAAGGATCTCTGATGAATTGACATCCACTCAGTTTATGAATGAAGCCTGTCCATTTGATATTCCGGTGCAACAGAAACACAGGAAATATGTGTCCAGCAAGTGGCAATATTTTTTTTTGGGGGGGTTCCTTCATGTGTAAAGCTGTCATCAGTGAGGAAACAGCGCCCTCAACGGGCTGCACACTGATCATGTCACCAACCTGTTTTTCCTCTTCCGTCATCTGCTCCTCCAGCTCTCGCATCGCTTCCTCGTCTATGACAACACCTCGTCCGTTGTCCTCGTCGTTCTCCGACCTTAAATTGTCTTCTTCCTGCTCCGCTCTGAGCCCTTCGTGAATTGCCGTGTCACTGAAAGGCTCACTGGTCTCCTGTATCCTGTTGGGATACACTCCCTCATGTTCTGATGGTTCCTTATCAGGTTGTTCATTTTCCGACGGGCTACCATGCGAGCCATCATTGCTGGTATCGTCAGCGCCTCCTCTGGGGTCCTGATTTGTTGCATCCACTGTTTCACCTCCGCCGATTTTGGACTGTATCAAGTCATCGACGATCCTCGTCAAACTGTCATCGGTAGTCGTGTGCTGTTTCTCCTTCTCCTTGCACTGCGTATTTTCACCGGTAGCAGTGCCATCATTATTGTCATTGTTAGCATCGCCAGCTGCCAAGGCATCAAAGAACTCATCGTCAGAGTCACTCTCGCCAATCGAAGGAGTTCTTCCCTCTTCGGGAGTCTGTGCCTTGCTGCTAAGACTGTCAACGGCATCCATATCGCTTCATGAAGCACGGAAATCCTAAGGCTTGCTGAGATGTGTCTCGAGAAATCAAGGGTTCATACCCTTGAGAGCTACGGCTTATTTCTCCACTGCAAAATCTGAAGAAAAAAAAACAAATCCCAGATCTGAAGTAGTACCCGGTGTGGTACTCGGATTTCTGAATTTATAAATTCTCAAAATTAAAACGGGTATGTTCAATGAAACAATACTAATAACCACACACTATTCTCACAGAACGCCGGCTTAAATGCAAGTACATGTTGATTGGCAAGTTGAGTCAAGGACCATTAGTTAACTAGCGGTTGGTTCCTGATGTACCCTGTGCCTAAGGCATATGCAGTGAAGTTGAAGTTTGAACCACCCTAGTCAACCGTGGTCAGGTCATTAGGCCGAAGGGTCGAAAAGGTGGCTACAGGAAGGGCAAAATAACAAAAACAAAAGTGAAAATGGTCATTTACTAGTGACATATTGTTTTTCTGACATTTTTTTTATAACCGGTCGTCTCTGTACTGTGCTATTATTAATATTAAACAAAGTTTATGGCAGCCAATGATGCGACCAACCTCGATAAATAGTTGACCAGATGGTCCAATCGTTTTCGACTAGCGTGAGTTTGATCAGAGTAGGTCAAACTATGGTCCTTGATCATACTTTCCCTATGTATCCGTACTGACTGTGGTAAAGAAACCCAAGCAACCGGCTTAACAAGGCATGCAAATACTGCACTGTTGAAGACGCATCTGAATCGACTCTTGAATGTTTCCCACATACAAACATCAATCCCATCAGACAACACATGAAACGGTTCAAGCACATAGCCTAGGCTTACATCATGTACATGATAAACCACTGCAGCATTTCGGTTTTTTAGCCTACAACTTTTTACAAGGTCAGAATTTGACATTTATAATTGTAGGCCCATTTCTTTTTATGTTGTAGACATGGTAGGACCATTTTCCTACCTCCATGGTAGGCCCTAGCCCCACTAGTGTGGGACGGATCACTCCGGATCTATCCTTATCCTTAAGGATAGATCGGGAGTGATCCCTGCCACACTAGTGGGGCTAGGTAGGCCCATGCACTGGTTACTGGTGACAGGCCTACCAGCTACTGCACCAGTTAATTCCGTATGAAGTAGTTTCGTTTAATTTCAGATGTGGATGAGTTGAGGCTGGTCCATACTTGTGGGGAAATGGCAAAAATGGTAACATTTTTTTCTCCAAACGAGGATAAGGCAGATTTTCTACAATTAGCAACCTAGTAGAAAGTTTACACCGTAAGTAATGAGCATACCGGTGCAATTTCAGCTCATAAAATCAAGAGGATGTTCAGTTATGCCCCCGGATATCCCAGATAATCTTTCTGAAAGAAATCCCTATGAATCGGGACAGGGCCGGCCGTATACGACGGAGGAGTATTCGTTGGGCCCTGTTTACGGGTCTAGGACAGGCCCAATGAAACGAAACATAAAGCTTGCGCTATATTTTGTGATATTATCTTCCTACCTGTACTTCTATGATACAGTTTACGTTAAAATGTTTTTACAGCTCCATGAAATTTAGCGGAGAACTTTTTGTCATGACTGTAAGCGTAATCGTTAACACACCGTCTGCCAGTACAGTCTGCAGTTGGCTGGAGTGGAGTGCGGACACACGGTACGACAGGCCATCCAGATTCGGACAAGTACACATGTAGACCTATCTCACGAGGGCGCCCTGAGACTAACACGGATGGGATTTCCAAAAAAAAAAAAAAAAAAAAAAAATGGGGGCGCCCTTACTACCTATCGATTTGGAAGAGTGGCTTCCAGTCCCGATATTCACCTTATTCGTTGGAGGTGGTTGTTGGGGGTGGGGCGGGATGGGGTGGAAGCAATAAAAGCAGTTTCTCATCATGTTGTTACAATTGACCGCATGAAATGACATCCGTGTCCGTACTAGAGCGTTTTCAGTAAAATTTGTACTGAGTAGAGCGCATAATATTATAAAAATCACCGATGGTTGCACTTGGCAAAGTACGCTCCATTAGAAACAGTGCAAAATCTGACCGAAATTGCGCCGCCTGTCGGCTTTCGGGAAGAGGTTGGTCTCTCTTTTTTTTCACTGGAAATCCAAGACTATAGCCAGAAGATCATTTTTCGTTTTAATTTTACGAGGTTAGCCACGATTTTTTTTATTAGCCTTTCCCCGAAGATACCCCACAATAGTAGTAAAACTATGCGCTCAGCTCTGAATGTAGCCGCCCGCCTCTATCCAATATAGGCCCGCAATTCAAGGGGCTTTTGGGGAAAGAAATACCCCAAACTGGAACCTATCAGTCCCAATTTCGGGATGTATAGAGATATTTCTATGATCCCCCTGATTGTGGCATGTCTTTTATTGCAAAAATCCAGTGGGATCACAAAATATTAATGAGCTCGCACGCAGAAATACGATTTGGTAGAACGCACCCCGATGTCCGAATGAATGAAAATACGGGCGATTCACAAGAGTGCGCTTCCAAGAGTTTGCAATGCGCTGATCAATCACAGTGCACGAAATCTGTCGACCCAATGCGCTTTTGGAAAGAGTCGCCCTGGTGGACGCTACTCTCTTTGGAGTCAACAGTTTTCGCGCGCTCTGATTGGTAAACGCATTGCAAACTCTCGGAGGTGCATTATTATGAATCGACGGTATTAAATCGCCAGTTCGGTCGCTAGTAATCATGATAAGTAGCACATTGGTGTAACATACCGGTAGGCTAGTCTTTTTGTTTGACTTGACAAGACGATGGCATTTTTAAAATTTAACTTAACTATGCGATATACCTATATGAATTTCAATTCCTCTTCCCGACCGTCGAATCAGGTAAACCTGTTCTTCGTTTCATTGTCTAATGTTGTGACTTTCTTTTTTGAGAAAAAACAACCAAAAATGTTTGATTGCTACCATTAGCCCAAAACCTTGGTGTATGATCCTAATTGGACCTTGCTAATTAGTTCCATCCGAGCGTAAAGCTCCTGGTGACTGCAGGTAATTGACTGCACCGTCATTAATTTTCCATCCATAAGCTACCGACCAATTTTCCCCTTTCTCTGTAATTTATAGGAACCGTACTTTCTCCGAGTCACCTTAGCTTCCCCCAATTTTTCTGACATTTCTTCAATCAATGATGCCCCCCCCTAAAATTACGTTGACCTGCATAAGTTTAAGTATAGTCGAAGGTTGTAGCAATTGTGGCGCCAAGTAACGACGTATTGTCGTCGCCTGTGCCGGTGTCTCATTATTACTAGTCATTTCTGGCATCCAATTTAAAAAAAAAAACTTACACTCGGCGTTTTCTGTTTACCCATCAATAAAAAAAATGCTTGACCCGCCGTCTTCATTCATCCGTGACGTCTGATTCTTGCGCTGCCTTTTTATTGTGTTCACCTCCCTGCTGAGTTATCACTTTCATCTTTGCTGAGGGTGAGATTATCGAGCGATTCACCGCCATGATCACCGTGTGCTTGCTGGCAATCTTCTCGGGCGTAGCGGGCTGCAGCACGTGCTCCCCACCGGCTGGGGCCTGCCCAGCGGGCTGGCTCAAGTGGCGCTGCTCATGTTATCTCCTGCGTGACACCTTCGCCTCATACGACGACTCCCACAAAGCCTGTCAGGAAAGAGGCGCCGAGTTGGCTGCCCCTCATTCCCTTCGGGAGAACGAGTTCTTCGCGAGCCTTGCGTCCCGCACGCAACCTCAGCAAATGTGGATAGGGTGCAACGACAGGGAGGCTGCATATGACTGGGTCTGCGAAGGTCAAGAACGGGGAAAGGTATTCACAAGATGGGATTCTGGATCGCCAGACCATGTACACGATTCTCCCACATCAACAGATCACTGCACCATGATGCTCGCATTCCGCGGCACTGTCAATTTCGGGCGGTGGTTCGACGGCCGATGCATGTCCAAGTCGAAATCGCTGTGCGTCAAGCGTATGAAGGTGCTCAGCCATCGTCTCTTCAGTTTCGTCGTCTCGAACCCGTCGCCTAGGTGCCTCCTCGATCGCGTCATCGACCAGTCTGTCACCAAGAGCTACGCCAGCTGCGCCTCAGCCTGCATCGCGACCCCCGGATGCCTCTCCTTCAACATCAGAGTCACCGAGCAGGGTGGACGCAAACTGTGTCCGCTGAACGGGGGTTACCAACCCGACGACCCGGCCCTCAACATCCAACCGCTTGGCCCCACTTGCGTGCTGTACGAACCATACATTGAGTGAGATGTCCCGATAGGAAGACTAGTCTCAAACGGTTGGCTGGAAACGCGGTCATAAAGGTGGCCACAGACGGATTGAGTCTGATGTGAAGTGGAACTGCAGTGATCGACATCGTCTTTACGAACAATTAAATAGCACCGGTAGCTTATCTAATTACCAATGGTCAGTGAAGCGAACTTTTCATTTTAGAATGCGCATGCTGAACATTACTTCTTTTCTGGTTTTTATTTCGATATTTCTTAAATGATGTGTATGCCTCCTTTTGACCACTGTTATAATTCGCCGTCATGATTGGCTGTAAATCAATATGAGATAGTTATGAGATATGTTATGAGAGGTGCATTTATGATGAGCGTGATTACAATGCGTTGCTAGTTGTCCCCAAAACATATTAAAAAACGCGCTTGTCATTCGAATGAATTGTTTTGTATGAAAAATTAGCTCTTGAGATTTAAAGCGCTCTTTTCTGGATCCAGGCAGGAAATGGAAATCTGCCATTGCAAAGTATCTAAAATTTAGAAATTATTTTTCTGCACAAATCGCTGCGACATTGAGGTTCAGTGCTCTGGATAACGTCACAGTTTTGCTCATGAATATGCTAATTTATATTAATTTAGTATTAAAAACAAAGAAGCTCCCAAATGCATATAAAAATAGCAAAAACAAATGGGAAAATAAGGTTCATCGCAACACAAAGGTACAATTTGAAGACGTAAAATATTCTATTACGTATCCCTATAACATTTGATGACAGGAACTATACAGTCATGTGGTTGGCCTGACCACATCGGTTTAATGTAGGTAAAGTCTTCGCAACGTAATTAATGAGCCCCGGGCTGGACCAAGAGAGGGCGCAATTTGGCTGGTTCACAAACTAAGAAAGCCCACTAATGCCATAAAGTGTACATTTTTCAACTTCGTTTTTACGAGATATATTTTTCCCAGTTTGTTTTTTTCGAGATTTATTTTCCATTTTGTTTTTTCGAGATACATTTTTTCCAAGTTCGTTTTCATGAGGCATTTTTTGGAAGTTTGCTTTGTCGAATCTATTTTAAGTTACTATTTTTGGAAACAAAAATTTGAAAAATATTTCTCGAAAAAACAAATTGGGAAAATGTATCTCGAAAAAACAGAACGAGCAAAATCTATCTCGTAAAAACAAATTTGAAAAAATGTACACCACATGGCACTAGTGGGTTTTCGTAACAAACGACTATGAAACGCAAGCGTTGAAGTCCATATCGCTACTAACAAAATGAACACTCCCGGACCAACGCAGCTCTTTTCAGCCGATGTGTGCTTCTGTAGTAAGAACAGATACTCTCCGCTTTCCTGACGCGTGATGTGAAAGTTCAGTCCAGTTAGAAAAACATTTCTATTACACGGTCCCTTAATGCCCTTGGAAGGATTCCCTATAACATATCCAATGTGCTTTTTTCAGCACAGGCAAACATGCTCGTACGTGCATCGCATACATTTTTGGCTTTTAATTTCATCGAATAAGTGGATGCATCATAAGCTTTTGGCTTTCCGTTTACAAAAAGTACCAGCATATTTTTAAAAAAATGTTTATAATGATTACAATTCATGTGGAGATGGGCCTCCATTGGGCTCGAGCGACAACTATTTTAGGTGGAGCCAAATCTAAGGAGCTGTCTCTGGAGACAGCCCCCAGTCTAACCAGTCTAAAAGTCTAACCGCTGCTCCATATAGTTGCATTAAATGGAAGCACAGAGGCCCTGCCCGCACAACAGCTGCGGCGCCTACAACTGCATTTATTGTCAACAAGTGCCTACCGCCTAGTTTGCAACTGGTGATGACCCAAATTAACTTTCGATAAGAGACGGAAAATTCATTTACTGCCATTGCCTACGTGTTACAGTTATCGGACTCTCGACAAGAAAAGCGGCTGGTTTTTTTTGCTAAGCTGCAAACACTTCCTCCAGTTCCAGCTTCAGTAGTTCCAATTCGAATGGAGTGCATGAAATTCGCACCAAGTTTGACACGGGGTCAGATTTAATCGAACAGCGGGACATCGGATCCGCTACCATACACGGTGGCGTTACAGTCAACTCCGAGATTACGGCCGAGGTATTTGGAGGTCGGTGGTTTGGGCGTGCGAGGGTCGTTGAGATCATGGAGGAATCATAGTGAAATGAACTTTGCCCTGAGGAAGGACTGAATACCATTCGGCAGATATTTCTAAACACAAGTACGTGCACATATAGTTTACCAGTAATCGTGGACTTTATTGCATGTCATGCCGATAAATCCGTTTATTTCTGTTACGGTTCACATATAAAGCGCGTGCAACTACACGTATATTCGATGCAGTTCTTACGTCGAGGGAAGCGAGAAGTCGCACAGATAGGCCTATAGTCAGACGCATCTAGCTGAAATGTAATAAATACCTATAGTCGCAGTTTGTGCTCACAAATTTTACGGCAAAAATGGTTCCTTCAACGAAGGGACAGAGGGGAAGGGTCACAACCGTTGGAGATGACGGGAGCTCCCACTCCATTATTAGCAGCCTATCCTCTTCATCGCTGGTCCGCCTGAGGCGCACGATTACCCTCTTCAGCGGGGTGTGCATCAACCTGGGCATCATCATCGGCTCGGGGATCTTCGTCTCGCCGAAGGGGGTCCTGGAGGGCGCGGGCTCAGTGGGGCTGACCTTGGTCCTATGGAGCGCCTGCGGAGTGTTCTCCCTCTTGGGCGCCCTGTGTTTTGCCGAGCTGGGCACCACCTACCCCACCTCGGGGGCGGTCTACACCTATCTCAGGATCATCTACGGCGACCTGGTGGCCTTCCTGTACCTCTGGATCAGCGTCCTGATGGCAATGCCGTCTTTCTTTGCCATCCTAGCCCTGACGTTGGGTGACTACTGTCTGCAGCCCGTCTTCCCGGATCCCGACTGCCCGCCTCCTCGCCTGGTGGTTCAGCTCGTGGGCACGGCAGCCATGCGTGAGTGTCCAAATTTTAAGGCTTACCCATCCCTATTACAATCCGACTTAAATGTCCCAATCGCGTCCAGTGCCAGCTTGGGCATGCGCAACTCAGTCGACCGTAAGTTGGGCATGCCCAACATTGGTTTAGGGAGATGAAAGTTTCATGAAGATCGGACATCGATATCCAAGTGGCAGGACATGGTGCTGAAAACTTATATACATGTATTAAGAAAATGCAACTTTGTGAAAAAAAATGATGGATTGGAAGAAGAAATGAAAAACAGGGCAGGGGAGCTAAATCAGCAGAACGAGGTGAAATCAATAATACATTTAGTCAACCTACACAACGTCATTAAACAAGTAAAAAGCTCGTAACAACGTGTCACATCCCAGGTGTTGCAGGTTTGCTTTAGCTTTTCCTAAAACGATTAGAACCTAAAAGTTCAGACTGAATATTTTTTTACCATGAAAATAACTGATACAGGTTTTGGTTTTCGATAATCACCGTTGCCAGACTTTTATCTTTTTTTTAAAATCAAGTCATGAACATTGGTCTCGCCTGAACGATGTTTGTGGAAGAGGTAGCCTAGTGCATTTCTCGTACTTCAGATAGAGTGCAAACAATGTTCAAGTGCTTTGGTTATAAAGCTGCGCTATAAACCTCGAAAATATGCTCAGAAATTTTTTTTTCGTAGGACGTTTGTCTCCGTAAAAGTACCAGGCAAAGGCATCATGAACACGCTTCCAGAGGAATTTAACTTTCTACACTCGAACACATAGAGGACAGGAGATACAATAAGATACGTCTCTTCGTCGTGGGCTTGGCGTACGATCAAAAAATCAAAAGTCAAAGTCAAAACCGAAGCTAGTTTTTGACGTGAAAAAGTCGATTAGAACCATATTGGAACTCGTAAAATTCACCCAAATGTGGCGGGAATCTCTGTTTCTTGAAGGAAAATATACAGCAACCATGCTCAATGATAAAGAGTCGCATTCCCTTGCCGTTGATAAAGTCTGAATTTTTAAAGTCTGAATTGTATTAAGGCGATATTGTTAATTTCAATTTGTGAAACACATCTCAGACGATGGTTTACTCAATTATTTAAAAAAATGGTTCGTTTGATTTCAAGGAATTTCCTCTTACACTTCCTTCTGTCACTGCAACATGAGTTCGATTGTCTTACACTCACTGAGGAAACTCGTAGCTGTTTATTTCCAAATGCCACCATGTGATTGACGAGCTTTTATCGTTTGCAATTGCCTTTAACGGTGATGGTAAAAGACTAACTGGTGCGATTCACAGCGCGCTGCTGTCATTGCGCTAGTCTTGTCTCAAGCGGTATGAGTGACGTGCGTGGACTATTGCCTTGAGCAAAGACTAGGCTCTAAATTGAGCGATACGTATGACAATAAAACGTGACACGAGTGGTACTAATCTGGCGTATTTTTGTTTGTTCAATGCAGTGCTACTTGGGTTGGTAAACACGGTGAGTACCCGCCTATCCACCTTTGTTCAGAACCTGTTCAGCATCTGCAAAGTGATTGCCCTAGCCATCATCATAATCGCCGGCTTAGTGCAACTGATCAAAGGTAAGGCCTGCGTTCATGGCACCCTACAGTCAACATACATGTAGGGCAACACTTAACGTCGTCAGTGTTGAATTAAGGCATGAACAACGTGCATGTGCACGTGTGGGTGTCATCACCCAAGTTCCAGGGGTCACGTAAATGGTGTAACTGTCCAAGTTGGTTATTGAATTACAGTTGGCCGATGTGACTTATGAACATTGAGCCAAAAAAAAATTGAGAAAGTGCCTGTACCGTTAGCAGTGTACTAGTCGCACTTATCCATTTCGTAATTTATTAATCGCGGACTCCAGACTGTACAGTGATAATGCTTTTGGATACTATCTTTGGTGTGTGTGTCTGTGACTTGAAGACGCCGGTGACGGCGCCATCTGGCATCATGTTGTGTCCAGTGCCCAACGTCAGCAGCGCCACCTGGTGTTTGCTACCCTTACCTGCCAGTGGTTCGGCACATATCTAGATGTGTTTTCTTAATTAAGCATTTGTCGAGCGTGACTGCTATCACCAACGACACTTTTTACAGCGACCTTGACGATTAAAGGACCAGGAGAGATATGAGTCATCATCACCAATTCACGGGTTAACATCACCCCTTGCTATTCGCAGGTCAGACTAAACATTTTCAGAACGCCTTCGAAGGATCGACCTTCAGCGGTCTCGGCTTTGCGCTTTACGCCGGACTTTACTCCTACACGGGATGGTAGGTGCCAATTCCTTCGTTATTATATGTTTTTATTTGCTGAATTCCATCTTATAAAAAGTGTCCCGTCAATGTTGTGTGATCGGCGTATAAACCATGTTATCCCGTTATGTACTCGTCATTCATATTTTCTTGCAGGGAGAGCTTAAACTACGTTGCCGAGGAGTTGAAGAACCCGATCAAGTGAGTGAGAATGCACCTTAACAGTCACGCATGACGCTACTGTTATGACACAATTATGAAATTATGTTATTTCTTTACTGACCCTTCCGATTTCTATTAAATTCCTAGCAAACACATGGACTGTTTGATTTCACTGAACTTGTCATCTGCAGAAATCTACCCAGGGCGATATTTATCAGTGTGACTGTCGTCACAACACTCTACGTGTTCACCAACGTGGCGTACTTCACGGCCATTGCACCGGAGGAACTCTTGGCTTCTAATGCCGTGGCAGTGGTAAGCGGGGGGGGGGAAGTGTGCTGCAATACCTGCCGTTTCAATCCGGCGTGTGAGTCTGGCCGCTGCACCAAGCGCTGGATGGTGCAGCTACATTGTATGCGTGCGCATGTATTGTTGATAATAGAGGGATCCGTAGCTTTCCAAGCCCGTCTCCAGAAACGGCTTTGGCTCGACACAGACCTGTAAATCCCTATCTGACATGGGCTTAGCTGGCAATGGGCCGCCGGCTTGTTGTACGGCTGGATGCACTGGTCCAACGTAAATAAATTTTTCACCGTCTTCAGGGCAAGCTCCTACTTAAGGAAAATGTGAAAGCGAAGCAAATTTAGGAGTCAGGTAACGTCTGCAGCGACAACGGTTCGAGTTGACATTATTTTGTTCAACTTTTTTTTAACTTGAGGGGGAAATTGACGTCACAATTTTGTCTTTGTATTAGCATTCGCGCTAAGTTTGAACTGGCCACATGCAGATGGCGTCTGCTTGGAAAGGCTCCCGTTAATTGTCGCTCAGGTCAGATAACTCTCATTTTGTAAATGATGTTGCTGATGTACTTTCCAGACCTTTGGAGATAAGCTGCTGGGTGGATTCGCATTGGTCATGCCCATTTGCGTTGCTCTTTCAATGATTGGCTCCATCAACGGCAACATCATCATCTGCTCGAGGTATGTAGCTTTCTTTACTTTGGCATTTTTGAAATTCAACATAAAAGCAAATCATTTGACCACGGCCTTCTTCATCTTGAATTTCATAGGTTTTATTTAAAATGAAGGCTGAGGTTATAATGAAACACAGCTGCTGAGTCCACTTATTTAATTTTTTAATTAAAACCCGAAAAGCAACGAGTGACAAGCTTGAATCTATCCGCTTTGAGCAGAAGCACCCCCTCATCGGTCGAAAAGAACCATATTGGTGGGGAGTATTATTTTTGTTGGTAGCGATGCGACGTTAGTGAACCTTGTAACCATGTGCAGTTCCCACCAAAGGAGCCTCCTTTTCTGAGGAAATTGCGCCCTCTCTTGGTCCAGCTCAAGCTAGTTGAGGCTTTGTTGCTGTTGTTTCTTTAACAGATAGCGCACCGAAAGTGTGGAGTGGTTCTTATCAGTGTCGGCATTTCTTTTTACAGGATGTTGTTTGTAGGGGCTCGAGAGAAACATGTGCCCTCGGTTCTGTCCATGATCCACATCAAGTTTCTGACACCGCTTCCCGCCATCGTTGTCATGGTGCGTATCGTTTTGGCTTTCTTCCGGTAGCACCACCCCTTTGAGTTCTGTTAGTTTCAGGTTGCATAGCTCTCACTTTCCACAATTCAAAAAGCAAATACACAGTAACTGGTAACCGCCCGTGATGCCTGTGTACCACTCCCCTCCCGGTGTCAAAAGTAAAGGAAACTGGCGTCAAGACATCAACGGTGCCAAGCTGGTCCCCTTGTTCCCTCTTTTTAAACTCAGGCCTTGTCCAAATTACTCAGCGAAGGCTTGAAATCACAATCGAGTCGACTGATGTGGCTGCACCCACTTCCCATATAGTCTTGTGCAATTCCAAGCCTATTGCCACAGGAAATTCGGACCTGGCTTCGTTAGGATACACTGCAGGAAGTAACCTCCTTCTAGTTTGTGTCGTTGCTAGCCTCCATGAAACCTGACGTCACTTGATTGGCAAACATTAAGTTTGTTCTTTACATATGCGTTGCAAATGATGATCGAATGAATATTCTTCGAATTTTTAGGACTGATCTCGTATTCCTGCATGTATTTTATTTTAGCTGGTGCTGTCGATGTGCTACGCTTTCTCCAGCGACATCTACACCTTGATTAATTTCTTCAGCTTCGTGGCGTGGACGTCCATTGGGGCCGCGGTAGCGGGATTGGTGTGGAAGAGGTGGCGGGAACCAGACATACCACGCCCTTACAAGGTATTATGAGGAGACGGAGGGAAGACTAATTATGTTTTCCTACTGGTTGTCGTCTTTCATGGACTTTGCTTTTCAATTTGAAGAAAAAGAAAGAAGAAACACATGATTGTGAAACAGGTTGAGGAGATAAGGGACTCTTCTGATAAAATGAAAATGAAATGTGATCATTCGAAGGAACTAAATATCCTTCCTCTTTCCCCCTTCAAGATTAACATCGTCGTGCCCATCCTCTTCGTGCTTGCCGCCATTTTCCTGGTCGTCATGGGAACTATCGACTCTCCGATAGATACGGCAATTGGCGTTGGTATCACGCTGACCGGATTGCCGGTTTATTTGGTGTTCGTCTATCCAAAGCGTCTGCCGAGCTGGTTGATAGAGTTTGAAGGTATATATGTATATCATAGCACTTTACCAGAACTATGATACCCATTTTTTGGTACGTACTCCTGCAAACACCGATCGAACATTTTAATTTTTATTAAGACCCACGGAATCACTCAGCATTTCCATTCCTGATGAAAGAATAAGAAGCTGTCGAGAGGGTAAACTTTGTGCATGGGAACGTTTTGCCCTCTAAATGCACCCAATCTATTTTTCGTATTTACAAATCTTCAACGGTTATTTTCGAACAGGCTTTAAAAAATCTGATCATTGGTTCACTTGTTTTCATATTTTCTCCACCAAATTAGGGAGGGTGACGCGTATTTTGCAGATGACGTTGCAAGTAGTCCCGGAGGAGACGAAAGAGTGACGACAGGAGACTCACGTCGCGCGAGTTCAGACCCGATCTCCAAGACTATGAATGACGAGGTGCCAGTAATGAACTGAGCCTTCTCTTCCGGCGTTATCGTACACAGATCTCTGTGCTCGTGCATTTGTTTTCACACCACGCACTTGAGATCGAGAAGGTATTAGTTACGCTGCGAAGACTACCTTCGGATTGCTGCGTACCAGGGGTTGCCAAACTCAAACATATATGAAAACATCAATCATTGGCCAATGCATGGAATTATTTACATGATTTAATTAAACAAAATAAACCACATAACAAACAAAACAATGTGCTTGCATTCAGCGAGATAAGTTAACAAACGGCCAACAACACATGAACACACAACTCGGCTAAGCAACGTAAAACATTTATACATGACAATAACTTTAACTTACAAACTAAAGACCGCTGCCCAGGCGGTACAGAACGGTGAACACAGCCATCAAGGCCGCACCCCCTGCATGATAGGATCGCCACACCAGCAAGGACTCCAGCCGTCACCAGTATCAACCACCAACCGTAGCCCACAGGTAGATACAACACAGCCTCCTTCAGAGCTTGGATGAGGCCGAGCAACCTACTCTTCCCAGCCTTAAATGCAAAACCAAACATTTCTATACCCAGCAAGAAATGAGACCNAACATTCCATACAAACAAATGGATTATGCAGCTTTCGCATTCAGCGAATGACAACAAACGTGGAGGCGTTATGTAACAGGTGTATTCCAGATTTAGCTGGTCTGGCCAAGCGTGGAGGAAGGAACACAAGTATAGTTGTTGTAGCCAAATGTTCATTTTAAAGGAACTACCTATAAAAAGAAAATGTTCTACTTAACTCTTTGAAATGGCACCCGTATTTCCCGATCTTTATCTGCATTTTTGGACTTATCTGATGTTAATATACATTCGTGAGCAAAACTGTGATATCATCCAAGGCACTGAACCTCGATGTTGCACTGATTTGCGAAGAAAAAACTGCTAGATTATCTACAACTTGCTATCGAAGATTTCCCGTTTGGGCAATTTATTGTTGTATGCGCAAGTGGCAATTAGCTAAGCACTAGCGAGCGATCTTTTCTCAGAAATGTTTTGAAAGAGCGGATGTGGGGCTCAAAATTTGAACATGTAAACATGGCAACTGAAAGGGGTCTTCCTGGATTTACATCACACTAACAGCGCTCTCTTTAGTCTGTAAAACCTTGATTAATTTGAATGTTTAAAACCAGTTCACTTAATGGACTTAACTTAGAGATTCCACACTGATTTCATACTTTAATGTAATTTTTAACAAAAAGAAATTCAAGAAAATTACTTCACACTGTTCCTTTAATTAGATCAGACATTTGGAATTTTTTTTCACAATGCCTATATTATTCCAGTAAATTTATTTCAAAATATTGTAAACCTTTTGATTCAGTAACCAAGTTGCTGTGCATGTCAATTTCTTCTTTGTTATAAAGATAATCACTTGCTTTTGGGCATGTGATTAGTAAGGGGTATTGCAGCATACCTGTGTACAAAAATTGTTTATTTCTATGGAGTGAATTTTTATGTATGGCCTTTGACAGAAGTGGCAAGTTTCTTTTGCTGTCCAGTGTACATGCCAACAGTCCGACCGGGAGATTACTATGGGAGTGCCTCCAAAATAATGGTCAACGCTGACCGAACCACGACAAAATGGTACAATGACCTCGTATCCTTTCCTTTGAAGGAGTTTGTCCGTGGGACCCAATCTTTTGTTGGAAGGTTGGAAATAGTGAACAGGTCTAGTGTACTCCGGGTAAATTTGGATTACAATGGCTTGAGAATGCTTTATTTTGCAAGGAGAGGAGGGCACCAACCCCACCCCCCAAAATAAAAACTGCCGATCGACCTAGGACGACTGATTATCGAAAACTTCTCCGAAAGTCATGGGATCACCCACGACAAAATAACGTAGTAGAAACCGAGAGGTTTCGAAATAAGCTTTCATTTGATGTCTAGGAAGTTGTATGTCTGCAAGTTGTCCGATTTCGTGAAAGTACCATGTTTGCTGTATACTTTCACAGTTGGTACCGGTGGAGTAATTCTGTGCAGACTTTTTGGGTGATCACACAGGACAATCAATAACGATAGGGACTGTCCACGACGGCACTGTAGATCACCCTTCGGGTTCTATTTTCTTCCTTTTCATATCTGTTATCAGAGAACGTGTTTGAGCAGCAACTGCCTAGCCATTTGTACACGTTTGTAATTGCTATGACCCCTTCGGTGATGATACATCTTGTGAACCGTACCGCCATTGGGTGAGTCAAACGACGAAAGCGTACAAACTATTTATTTCCCCAAGGCTGAATATGCTTGTGCTCACTCAGGTCAAGGATGTGCATGTTTTGTGCTCTACCAACCATCACACACTGGGAAAGAGCGACTATGAGGTATTCAAATAGTAACGAGTTTTTTTTCAACGCGGTCCTTGCTAAACGCAACTGATTTGCATAATCTTTTCAGAATTCCCTTTTGAAGTCAGAAAAGATGATATACCGGGTATCAACATAACAATTTGAATAGTAAAACACGTCAGCCATGCAAAACGTACATGGATGCCGAACCTAATTTGCATGGGCACGTGATCTTGCGACGTAGCAAAACTGCCGACTGCATAACAGATAGTCAGACCATTTACCATCTACCTACCGATCCACAAACTTCGCCCGGCAGACAATAAGCCAAATAGACACAGGTCAAAGTCTACAGATTGTCTGCGACCGGCTTCAGACGTGTCATATCGTTGTCTGTGCCCACGCAACAGTGACATCCCACTGGAAGTGGGTGCGGCTGGGCCCTCGCTCAACTTCTACAGGCGCAGGCTTAGCAGACGGTTGAGTAGGTGTTCAATTACTGATCAGCGTCAAGGTAAGCCGATGCCAAATTTCTACCACTGACGCCCAATCGTATACTTACAAACTAGTTGCGGGTGTTGGATATCATTTACGGGCACAGAATTTGAATCTTGGAATGTCAACCAGACGCCGCTCGCGAGAGTTTTTCCCGTTGTAAATTGATAAAGTGATAGAATAGTTGTCCCACTTTAAAAGTGTAGCATATAAAACTTATTACAGATTTGTTACTACTCGTCGGGCATTATTCGGTGCCACACAAACAACGAAAGTCACAGCCAAACTTAGTGCTGTACATATGTAGTGTTGCAGTCGAGACCACTTAAGACCTTCGGAAGACCACACAAGACCAACACAAGACCTCCAGTCTGAATTCAAGTCACAAGCAAAAGAACTGCAACAAAAGCATTCCTTTGTCATTGTTCACCCTGTCACTTGTGACTGGTCTTGTCCATGGTTTTGTCCATGGTCTTGTGTCTGGTCTCAAGGCTTGTGTCTGATCTTGTGTCTGGTCTTGTGCATTGTCTTGTGTCTGGTCTTTTGATGGTCTTGACAACACTGCGTACATGTCTCCATGCAAGTCGGTTTAGGCACACATCAGAATTATCGTGGTACGGCCAGTAACACATTCAGCGGGGGAGGTTTCCCCTGGGAAATATACATGTCACCGATAATTTCTTTCATGAAGGAACTGAAAGCGCTAAGACTTTTGAAACGGTGCCATCGCCCTCCAGGGGTGACTTATCAGAGTTGCTAGTCGCCAAATCATGCCTACAATAATTATCTGTACCTCCAAAACTTTCGCCATAGTCAGGTCAACCTGTATCAATGCTTATTAAACCACACAGGTTTGCTGTAGTGACTATACAGCTGTGTTTGTCTACCTGTGGTACACCATGAAGCTTCTAGAAGTTGCCATCCTTCTAACCTCCATTGGTAAATGTTGTCTTCATTAATTACTCATCTCACTGCAGAAAGGAAAGACAAACCAAAAAAGAACACATTGCAGGGCAGTTGATATCATCCGTAGTGCAAATCGTCAAAATGGTGCTCCTCGAATAGGATTCAGAAGCTGATAATTACTAGTACACGTCAAGTGAAGGCATGATTTAGGAAATAGTGTCACCTCACAATGGATAAAAACCATTTTATCTCATGATTTTTGGGAAATAGTGTCACCTCACCATGGATAAAACCATTTTATCCTCCGTCTAATGAGAATAATAACAGTAACTCTTTCCAATGCAGGAGGCATCATGGGGTTGCAGTGTTACACCTGCACCAATGGAGCTGGTGTAGGTACCGACACCAGTGCCTGCGATGACCCATTCAATACCAGCACCACTGATCCTAACGTTCTGAAAACCACTTGCACAACTGGGTTCGATACCTGCGCTGTAAGTACCTATAACACAGGAATACTGTAAGCTACTGAGGTGAAAAAACAATGATTATACCTTAAGACTTAGAATTCCGCTATGAGAGAAATTAAATATATTTCCACAAATATTTTCTCTTAGCTCTTTTCAGCTAGAGAGATATGCTGGACTTTGCATTTAAAAACGCTGTCGCCAGTTTCTTTTTAATCCTTGAAAATTAGTTCCAGAAAACTCTTCAGGAATAAATATGACTCAATTTTGTGTACACTCAAAGTGTAACCACATGCAACAAAAGACCATACCTGAGTCCTCACGCAACCAGTCATCGTTGCAAGTTTTTGTATAACTTTTGCACTCAGCGCATTTTAATATTTTGTCTGTTGCATGATTTTCAAGTTCTTATTTTGTACCTGCCCATGTCTTGTTTCGTGCACACAGAAAGCAACTCTATCCAGTGGCGGATCGAATCTAGTGGCGAGAACGTGTTACTCCAGTCTCACCTGCCCAGCTCAAAATGGATGCGCCTCGGGCGACTATGGCGGCCAATCCGCCACAGTCTGCTGCTGCAGCGGCAGTCTGTGCAACGGAGTTGGGTCGTTGGCCGCAAACGTCATCGCTACTGTCGCCATCATCTTCATGGCAATGTTTCTCGCTCGCTAGGAGCTAGACGAGTAAGAACGAGACGCCAGACACTTAGTTTAGCTTGGCACTGAATTCTACCTCCACATTTTTGAAGTTATTTCTGAATAACGAACGCGCATCGATAACCTGGGAAATTTATCCTACAGAAAATTTGGAAAAAGAAAAAAGTAAAATCATCCAGAAAAAACAGTGCGAGCCTCACTTTGACATCCAACGTTCCTGCCCCCCGGTTGAGCATCCTAGCTTCGTTTGTGGTATATACATTATATACCAGAAAGAACCCACGCTGAATTGTTTGTAAATTGTGGTAGCTCGGTTTGAAAAAAAATCGACGCCTATACCAACTCCATAATAATGGCAATCCAGAAAAGAAATCCAATGATGTGAAATATTTGAGTTCCAGCCAATTTGAAATTTATCCATTGAAAAGCCACTCTTCAGAATGGATACTTGATTGAAACCTCAGTTTAACAGTTGTGCAAACCAGTAGCGAAATGGTCCTGCGAATTGTAATTTCATTTGTGGAGTACAAATATGTCAAAGCCAAGTTCTGTTATTGAAGTACACAGATTAGGACGGTTAAGGTACACAGATTGAGGTAGGGCCTACAAGGTTTTTATCTATTGATCGGTCATACTTTCTAAAGATTGAGTATTAAATACTATGACGTCTTGAATACATAAAAACGATCTGATATTCATGATGTAATACATTCATACAGCAACCGATAGGTGGCACAGCCGCCTATATTTTGACTTAAAGCAAAGAAAAATGAACTACTAAAACAATACGGGAATTTGGTCAAATAAAAAGCCTCTTTGTGATGAGTGGATCTCAAGCTTAACAAAGTTGCAATTTGAACAATTTTAGTCAATTAATCAGTCAAATTTGAAGTGCACAGTAGCTTTGGCCATTTTTATCTCAATTCATTTCCTAATTTAGTCATCCTTGATTTCAGGCGTGTGAATCTGAAAGTGAGGTGGGGCATCCTTGCAGTGACGAGAAATGAAATAATGCTTTGAAATAATATCATTGATGAGTGCCTTTTACATGAGCCGTGGTATTGTTTAAAAACAAGGAATGAGAATCATATGACCACCTTTTTACGAAGAGTTTTTTGTCAGAAAATATTTTCTGTAAACCACAAATAGGGCCTACTGTTTTAATATCACGCTGGATATTACAAAGGGAAGTTTAAGTGAATAAATGGAGGCCATCTAGTTGTGTGAGCTATTACATGTGAATAAAATGATGATCGAAAAAATAAAACATTTCGTTGAGTTTTCTGTAGTTCAGTTCTTTTTACAGAGTTTCCACGAGCATCATTACAGGAAGAAAATATTTGTGAGGCGTTTGGGTGGCTGCGAAGAAAGAATTCCTTTCCCTCACCTTTGAAATGAATTGGACCATTTTTACAGCCTGATTTTTTTTTTTCACAACGGGCAAACTGGCCTGTATTGGTTCGGCCATGATATTTTCTGCAACTGCATGCAGTTGGCGTCCAGCAAAAGCGCCCTCTTTTGATGGAAGAGGGATTTCTCTACAACAAGTCCCATTTGGGGTCTAGCGGACACATCAGCGGGGAGACTTTCGGTTTGGGTAAATTCTTTTCATTTTACCTTCAATGGAGGGGTGCAGGCCAGTAAATAAACTTCTTGATATACGCCGATATTAAGTTCTGTCACAAATTAGCTTGCGATCTAATAAGCACAATTTGCACAATAAGCAAGAAAAGCCATAACGGATGAAACCACCAGTAATCTGTTGTATATGCAAATTCGACCTTTCTGTCGACCACTGATCGATTGCAATATGCCCGGCCGACTACGGATTCAGATTGTTCCTGATACCAGCCAAAAACAACCTGCAGTTGACAAACAATTCTTGAACTTGCACTTTCATGCACTGTGAACTGCGCCCCCTGTTGTTATTAGATTGCTAGTCACCCAACACGCTTCCCTCATTACCAACAGCCGGCATGAAGAGCTCATTCGTATTTATCCCGTGGGTTGTCTAGGGGTCACCGTAGTTTATTTGGCACGTCGCCCAGCCCTTTGAAATGTATGACAAATACCCGCGAAGACGGTATGTTGGGCGAGTGTACTAACAGTTAATTAAAATTCTAACCAAGCGGACTGAAGTGGGGGGAGGGGCATACGAGGGGCAGAGGCCCCAAGTGGGGGGTTGGGGCGTGCCCCCATCCTCTCCTGGTTACGTCACTGTCTAGTTGCGCTCGATAATGCAGCGTTGACACAATATTTTAACATGCATGTGACAGTACAGGTTGTGGGACGTATTCTGGCGAGGCTTTCGGAGTGTGCGATGTCCGGAAAAATTCACCGAAAAGTGACACGATGTGACAGGTGCTGAAATCACGTGACAGTGGGGGCGATACGGATGTAGGCCTACATCTGCAAAATGTATCACACTTCTGCATAACCTTAAATCAAAAAAGCGCATTTATGCCTTTTTCAAAAATTGTTCCCTGTTTGAGTGCCACTGAACACATATTGGCTGTTGGGATGTGGAACAATTCTTCACAGTCTTTCTTAATATATTCTTATCGGAATGAGTTTGACGGAGGGATGATTCAATAGCCCATCCCCTGATCAAATAGTTGGCGGGGGATACATATTCCACCCCCAGGGATTTACGCCCATGCGAAAATCTGTTGTAAACTATATACTGCCAGTGAAGTATACCGATATCCAACCCACTGTAAGTGTGAGTTGCTCGAGCCAGTTGTCTAAGGCACGATACCCTCATGAGAACATGCAAGCATGATTTGCTCATGCGCTGTGCCCTGTCACAAATAGTTGGTGAGTCTGCTGATCTGCCCTCGACACACGAAAATATTGTTGATCTTCCCAGTCTGTTCCGCTTCGACAGCCTTTTCATTTTAAAATTCGCGCAAGGAAATGAACGAAAACTTTGTACATCCAATGTCTCAGGAAAGAATTTATCAATGTTTATTTTCAAAGCGTGTTATTCACACTCTACTTAGTTTTACATTATTGTTCAAGGCCGATCACTGAACGCCAGCACAGCTTTTATAATGGAAACAATATGTCTGGATTTTGTCATTCACTGATCTAATGCAGCAGTAGCCTTTTTCGAGAAGTAAAACTCGTTGATTTCCTCGGTTCCTATTAACAAAACCATGATATTCTTGCATCCAGAGTTTTCCCAAGAATTGAAACCCATAAAGGTGAAGCTAGCGCTGAACTAAAGGCCATCCTGATGCTCATTAGCTAGCTACATTTTTTAAGAACCCGATGCAAGGACGTAAAATTGGTTCACGCTGTGATTTTATTCCGTCACAAGTCATTAAATAGCCAAAGGTCGAGTTGATATTCGAATAGTATAGAATTCAGTAGGGTTAAATGGTAGCGATTGGAATTGCTTTATGATATATATAGGATCGGTACTGGCTTATATAGAAATGGCAATGTTGCATAAAACGATTTTATATCACAAAAAGTAGCACTTTCCGCTATATCGTATATATCATGACTAATGTCATTTGTAAATATATGTGTGGGGCATACCTTGTAAAAAACTCCTGTGAGAAATACTTGCAACGGTTTATGTTGCACACTATGTGTGCTATATGTTGGCAACATGCTGTGCAGTGTCTCCATGTGAGACTACAACATCCACTAGTATCGAACACTCGCTACGGCTCTTCACCAATTGATCAAAATTGCCAGTCACGACTCCAAAAAAACCCCCAGTATATAAACTCAGTGGTGTACCGGCAGCGGTGGGTGAACATACGTGTCTGACTTTTTGCAGCGAAAACGGTTTGCAAAGAAAAAAGGGAAAGGTCCCAATCGAGTAACCTGCAAGATAATCAAGGCTGTGCATTGTTCTACTGTGCTCTCGGCACCCAAACACTGCACGCGTGATCTGGAGGAAGACGAAAGCTGATTGGTTAGCATTTCTTCGTCCATCAAACGTTGCCTTATATAGTCACAAAACTGGCCCCAATACATCACATGTCACTCCTTTTCGCCCGAAATGAGTTTCTACAAGCTTTTCAGAATACCTTTTGACGTCAGAAAAGGTGACGTATCCCCATGGAAACACTGTTTGGCAAAGCACATTAGCTATACAAACGTAAATGACTGACACACCGAATTTGCATGGACACGTGACGTCACCAGAACATTTCAGACCCTGGCGCAGACATATTCCGATTATCTACCACCGACCTTCGCAACACACAGCCGATCGACGCTCTGAATTGGCAGACAATAAGGCAAGTCGACACTGGTTAAAGTCTACAGATTGTCTGCGACCGGCTTTAGACCTGTCATATCGTTGTCTGTGCGTACGCAACACGGCTACTAGCAACCAGCCTGAGAGGCACTGCAGTGGGTGCGGCTGGGCACTCGCTCCATTTCTACCACCTTTGGCTGAGCAGACGGTTGGGTTGGTGTACGACTGATCAACATTAAGGTAAGCCCGTGTTGAAATTACACGACCGACCTATCAGAAGGCAATTAATGGTTGCCGTTTAAGACTGATGATTACGAGGATTCCTTTCTGGCAATCAGGGG